AAAAAAACCCCCAAAAACCCCACGTCAGAATATATTTAGCAAGTGAAAATGCGAACCACAGAAAAACTGAGGGGGCTGGGCTGGGCTCTGTGTGTATGTGAGGAAAAGCCATGCTCCGGGTGGGAAATGATGGAAGGTGTAGCACCAGGGACCAGGTCGTTTAAGTGCAGGGATTCCTCTCACTTCCCCCTTGCAAATAAATTACCAGCAAAGCATGCACGTGGGGCGGCTCGCGTACTCCGCTCTCTCGCAGCCTTCTGGGAGACTCCTTTGAACATTTGCAACATGAGAGCACGGGCCCTGAGATTTGTTAGACACATCTGACTTTATTATTTTTTAAAAGAGCAATATTATCTTCCCTCCTTGCGCGGGAAGGGGAGGGGGCCGCGAGGGGAAAGCCACCGACACGGGGGGCTAGAGATGGGCTGCAGCGCCTCATGACTAAAGAAAAGAATTAAAATCTACAGCCAGGAATGTGCTCTCGCTTCATCACTGTGTTCTGTCCTCTAAATATTTCATTTCCAACTAATGCATGAGCCAAATGGAAAATTTCAAGCAAAACTGCGCTACTTAGAATGTGCTTAATTATTGATTCAGCTGGGGGGAGGAAAAAAAAAAGGAGACGAGGGAGAAAAATGTGCTGAGCTGCTTTTGTGCCTTCTCCCCCAAGCGCGCTGCTTGCGCCAGCGCCCCGGGAGCCGTGCCCCTGCAAGGGGCTGGCGTTCTGTCCCCGTGTGTCTGCAGCGTGGCGCTGGGGTGGCAAGCAGATGCAAAAGCAGGATGGGAGGTTTCTGGCTGGCAGCGCATCCCCTCCGTGGCCTGGAGTCCCACGGGCACCTGGATCCTAGGGGCTAATCTCATTGCTCCCACTCCCCTGCCGCAGCACGGGCCTGGACGCCTGCAGTGGGCTTGACCGACAGGGCTGCCAGGCTAGGTCGGAGGTTGCAGGGACCCTCCTAGACTCGGACGTCGCCTGCCATCACACCCAGGCAGGGGCTCAGGCGCGAATGCCAAGTATAGGGGCCAGATCTCCCTGGCTCCAAGGGATTCCCTGTCCTAGTTAGCCATTCCTGCCGGGCCCACGCTGCACCGCCGTGGCACAGCACCCATCTGGGAGGCCTGCAGATAAGCAGCTGTCTCCCCCAGCTCAGGAAGCAAACTGGGCTGGCCTCCTCTGAACACGCCTGGGTCTACATTGGAGCTGCACCCACCCGGCGCGGGCAGGAGGAGCCGCGGTCCCGGGCGTCTTCCCCCACCCTCTCCTCTCCAGCACGGCAGCTCTGCCGTTTGCTCTGCCGCTGGACTCTGCGCCGGGAAGCTCCTCTCCACTCGCCTCCCAAGGGGACAGCTGGTAGCTAACGATGGAGCAGCTGTTTGTCTCCCAGCACTCCTGAGCCTTGCCGAGGCGCTTGGGGATTTGCGCATCTCACCCCGCTCTCCCTCTCTTAAATAGTGTCACCAGCACAGCCTCCCCGCACAGCTCGGACACTTTCGGATGGGATTCGCCCTGCCAGGGACCACGAGGCTGAGCCCGCGGCGAGTGCAAGCGATTCATTTTCATCGCCCCCCTGCAATGCAGAAATCCCGACTACGTGCAGTTTGGGGGGGTTTCCATTTTTGGTGAAAGGTCACCATTTCCCAAGGGAACTTAGAGCAAAGCATTTCATTTTCTTGTCACTTTTTGGTCCAAAATGCCTTTGAAAAGGCCCCGTTTTCTGCCTGGTGCCACTCATCTGCAAGAGGAGAGAGAGAGAGAGAGAAGATGGCTGGGGGTCTGTCGCATCCCTGGAGAAGTCCCATCAGCATCTGCCTTCATAAGAGCCAAAATAAAACACCTTCTGCTAATCCGAGGGGGAAACTGCACCCTTCTCCACCATTTTATCGGACACAGCTCATCTCTGAGGAGCCCAGCACAAGGGGGAAGCCAGATACTTGCTGGGTTCATGCTAGCTGGGATGTATAATCCCTCCTATTTTGGGCTTTCCTTTCTCCTTTGGCGCGTGCCCAAATCACCTGGCTTGACCGCAGTGCCAGATCCAGAGACTCTCCCAGGAGCAAAGCTAGGGCGGGGGTGTCTGTGCATTGCTTACTTATGCGGCTCGCATCCCCTCATTAACCGTTCGGGGAGCTTTTCCTGTAATGATCCTATTTGCGTGCGCTGTTCCCAGAGCGCCTCCCGCTCAAAACTGCGATTTAGCCCTTTGAAGCTAAATAACATGCTTGGGGAAAGAGCCGCAGGAGAGCGGAGCGCACAGAGTACCGTGCCGTGTCGGCGGTCAGCGCCTCGGCCAGGCCCGCAAGAGTCTGAAGTCCCAGGACAGGCAAATCCAGCTTCTGGTTATTCTCTTTTGACATTTTCTTTCCCCTTTCGGTTATAAAGGCATCCCAGTTGGTGGGATTGGTGCATCCCAGCGGTGCAGCACGGGGGAGCGACCCAGGTGAAGCTCCCTCACTGCCAGAAGACGTGGAGCTAGTTGAAGTTGGAGGACACATGATGTATCTGCACCAGGGGCACAGTCTCGTCGAGTGACTCCCAGTTGAAGGCAGCAATGCACAGCTACAGCTGATGCAACAACCCTGATACTACCGCTGTTGCAGGGCAGCCTTTCGGTGCTGAGGGTAATGCATTCAAATCTCGCTTGTAAGCCACAGAGAGAGCTCCTGGCTTCACTGACATGGAGATTACTGCCCAGCGTGCTTTTGTACCAGCTTGAAAATGATGGAGATAGGAAAGAGAGCTGGGATTATCAATGGCCCAACTCACCAAGCTGTCCATGGATAAGTCAGAGCCTCTGAAATCCACCCCAGCCAAACCTGACCCCTCCTCTCCGGCTGAGTCGGGTGGGCTAATTGAATTTTGATGTCTATTTGTACACAAGCGCAAGCAGCTGGGAACATGAGAGCTTCCCACCGCGAAAAAGTGACTAACTAAACACACCTGTGTTTGTGGCATTAGCAGGAAAACAACTTTGGAAAGCAGAGGAAAGGAACAGAAAATAGGAAATCAATGGCAAGTTAAGACCAGGGAGAGCAATTAGGCCTTGGAGCGCTGCTGTTTACCGTGGCAGGAGTGAGTTTTTAAGTGTATATGAACTGGATTTATACACTTACGCGAGGCCAAAATATCTCCCAGACAAAGCAGCTTAGCTACATTGCCATTTCCAGAGAGAAAAAAACTCCAGCGACAGCACATTTGCAAAGGGGCTCGCGGGGGACAAGCTTCCTCTCCTGCTGCGAGGAATCAGAAGCAGCGCCGCCGAAGCCAGAGGAATCTGAGCAGAGGAAAAAACTGGCATCAGAGAAGAGAAGAAGCAAACCCAAGCAGGACCTCCATGGGAGGAGGCCTTGAACGTGCTGGGAAGAGAGGGGGGGTGTCCTGGGGCTGCCTCGCTCCGCCCGGGGGTGATGGCACCCACCTGGGCAGGGGAAAGCACCCCTGCCCCTTTACTCCCCTGTGCAGGCACTTTGCAGCATGCAACAGGCTTCAAGAGAAACCTGGGGGCATTTGTGCAACGAGCGGTTCTGTGCTTCTGCTCCTGGGTTTGCTGGGAAGGCCACAACTTTTGGGCCAGTGTTTTTCAGGTTTGGGGCAGTTTTTGGCTGAGAATTTTTGAGCAATTTTTGGTTTTCAGGGATTTTTTTGCGGGGTGGAGGGGGGGAAGGTTCTGCTGATCAGTTTGTCTAAAACAGACCATTTTTATTGTCAGGAGACATCAGTTCCCTGAGCACATCCAGGCCATGACATGCCCAGCTCTGTGGCTCATCAGCATCTCTCCTCCGTCACCTCTTATTTGACAAAACGCTGACTTCTCCTTACCCAAAACTCCTCTGCTTGCCTCACCCGCTCCATGAAGCAGGGGTGTGTTAGGGCATTAGAGACCTCTTTAAGTGCACCTTCTCCAACCTTGCATTAGCTCACGTCTGGGTTTCTGAATGCATTCTCCATCGCTGTGTTTAGTCTCCAGACTGTAAGTGGGTGCTTGGGCACTGTACAGGGCTGAGCACATAATCATCCTTCAGCTAATCATCATAATTAATATTAACACCCCAGGATCTCAGAGTGAAGGAGCTGGAGAGCTGGAAGAGAAGCTACCCAGCCCATAATATCCCTGTGGTTTGTGGGGGGGGAGGGTTTAATGTTAAAATTCCCTGCTGTTCTCTGATTTTTCCATGTTTTATACCTATCTCGAGCTAAACGGTCTTTTTTACATCATTCTAATTAGAGTCCAATATAACTTAGATGAATCTCTTAGTAGCTTTTACTGCTCTTTATGAGTTAGCCTAGGGAGTTAAGAGTCCCCCAAGGAGACCTGGGAAAGGGGTTTCTGAGTTACGGAGAAGAGGATGCTTTTCCCTCTCCCCGAGCGGAGGGAAGAAGCCGGGGAGAGAGTCCTGCCTCATGATCAGAGCGGGAGGAATTGGAGTCAATATGTCTGGGCTTTGTTTCTGGCTCGGAAAATGACCTTCTCTGTTATGCTGTCAACATTTTACCGCATAGATATGTTGTGTGGCTTAATGCAGATCCTCGCCCTGTTTGACAGAGGCATAGCAGGGCTGTGCAATGAACACCCGGGCAGACATTTCGGCCGGGGCGTGCGATTGCTTGCAGCAAAGGAAAAGCATTGCACCCTCCCCAACGTGGACCATGTTAAGCGGGGGTTTTCAGGACGGCTCGGAGGGCCCCGTGGCTCTGCCATGCAGGGGCTCCTTTTGAAGGATGCAATTTTGAAGGATGATTTAGCAACAATCGCTCTTCTTGGAGCATCTCCAAGAATAAGGAGCAGCGCCTGGAGCGTTCTGGGGAGAGGCGGAGGCCGTCTAGCCTGGAAGCAGCACCAGGCTGCAGCATGCTGCCTGGCTCTGTGCTCTGGAGCTGGGCTAATTAGCACAGTGTAGAAGCAATTAGCCTGATGTCTTTGCTGAGGGGGCCGTGGCTACACGGCTTCTGTAGCATGTAGGAAGCCACATGCCATGTTGGCAGGCGGCACTGCCAGACAGGGCGAGCATGCCCTAGACATGACCAGAGAGGGGGGCTCGTGTTGGCTGGGCTGTGCATTGTGCACGGAGGAAGTGGTAGAAGAGCTTCATCTGTCCACGGCCACAGATTCCCCTTGTGAACTTGGATAAATCATTTCTCCTTGCCGTGCCTGAGTTTTACATCTGCAAATGGGAGAGGATAACGTCCTGACCATGTAGACTGTAAACTCTTCAAGGTAGGGACCAACTCCCCCAGGCATACGTGCAGCGCCTAGCACAAGGCAACTCAGCTTGGACCTCCACGTACCACTGTCATGCAAATAAGAGTCATGAGATCCCCCCTAGAAAATGCCTTTTGCCTTTTCTTTAACTGACAAACACGGTGACATTTCTCTCAGTGAAAATTCATCAAACCCAGATCCAAATCTTCCCTTTGATTCATTATGCTCCAGTTTAACATGCCGATCGCACAGGCTTGTCTTTAATAGCATAATCAAGGACCTGATTGCCATGGGAGCGACCTCTCTGCAGGGCAGGGCTCTACTCGCCCAGGGATCACTTGTGTCCACCTTCCCCGCACCGCTAGCTGCGCAGCCCCTCGGCTCACACAGAGCAGGAGATTGCTGGCTCCATTAACAAGCTGTTGGTTGAGCGCCGAACAAATCTTTTCCTCGCGTCCCCTGAAAATGAAGTGCTACAAGGAGGCTCCCACAGTCCCACAGGTGCTGAAGAGAATCTAGTTTCTGGCACGTCTCTATTTCTGCCGGTGCATTCACCCATCCATCCCGTTTTTTTTTCCCGTCCCGACCTGCCTGCCTGCTGACCACCTTGATTTTTTCCTCCTCTAGCTGTCTAGTTTTCTCTCCTTATTTATCTACCCATTTATCTAATCTTTTACATTGCCTATTGGCAAGCAAGAAACAGTTCTCACTGTGAATCTACAGGGGAATCGTAACAAAGGAATCTATAAAGAATGCTCCAGGTTTTGAAAATTTGTATAAGCGATGGAAGGCGGAGGAGACAGCGCTGTGTTTTCTGACTACCCAGATCTAAATATTTATAAGTGACTTTTGAGAATGCCTGACCTCCTTGAACCCCTTCTGATGAGCTGCCACTAGAAACAGCGCACGAGCAGGCAGGGCACTCGGTTAACATTACCTGCGCAGCCCACATCGGGCCCGGGCTGAGCTCTGAAGGATGCAAAGGGGAGAGCGCGCTGGTAATTGGGATGCTGAACGAGTTCTGGTCTGCAACTGAAATGGGGGGACATCAAGCCTGCGGAGCTCGGTGCAGATTCAATTAGAAATTTCACTGAAATTCCAAATTACGGCCATTTTTTTTAAGCGACAGAATTATGCCGTGTTACAGAGAAAGTGACAGGTAATTTGGGCCACTAAAGATTTCTCGGACTCTATAGTTAATGGGGAGTTTAGCACCAATTCCTCTGTAATTTGCACTTCTGAGAAGCTGCGTTATTATAAAGTCAGAAATCTCCGGCACTTTCAACTCCGGGATCTGCCAGGCTTGAGATGACCAGGAATTGAGAAGGCCTGAGTCCAGAGGTCAACAATTTCAATATCTGAGGCTGTGTGGTTTCCAAAAACTGGCATTCCAATTGAAGAGTTGAAAATTGGAGGTGACATTCAGAAGTCTCTGAAAATTATAACCCTGACTTCCTCCTTGAAAAGCTTATCTGAATCCTAGCTTATCCTTTGATGAGGTTACTGAAAAAGCATTCTGCTCTGAGTACTTGAAAGATAACAGGCAATGCATGCGAGCCAGTACACTTCTCCTGAGGGGGAAAACACTATTGAATATAACAAGCATGGGGCACTAATTAAACGGTCTGAATTATGCTGGACATCCCGATTTTGGTATAACCCTTTCCCATCCTTACGCACACGCCCAGGTAAAGCATAGGCCAGTCTCTTGCCCTATGCTTCCCAGCTCCCTCCCGGCGCCGGCACAATATTCCCAGCCGTTTGACAGGGCTTCCAAGGGTTAAATCTTTTCGGGTAGCAGAACCGATTTCTCAGATCTTCATAGAATATGTGGGTGTGCATAGAAAATCCCTAGAGCTTGCATTAAGTAAGTAAATTAGTTACCCCAAGAAGTCAAGTTCCCCTTTTTTCCAGAGCAGAAATAAAAGGGAGGTGTGGGCTGCTTTTCCATAAAACAGCTTAAAAGAACAGGAGAGTTCGGTGCATAGAAAAACAGGGCTGAAAAGGCCCTCAACCCAGACCCCGCTCAAGGCTGGGACATCCCTGTATCAACAACCCCAAACAAACATTTGTCCAACCTGCATTTAAAGGCGCCCAGTGCCATAACCCCTCTAGGTAACCTGTTTCAGTGGTTAGCCACCCTCCTAGACAGTAAGTTCATCCTAATATCCGACCGAAATCTTCCTTGTTTCAGCTGAAGCCCTTTACTCTCTGTCCTGTCGCCAGCGGGCACAAAGAGCAATTGATATTCCTCCTCTCTATAACACCATGTTTTATATTTGCAGGCTAGTGTCAAATCTCCCCTCCGTCTCCTTTTTTTCCAGACCACAAAATCCCAGGCTTTACATACTGTGTTTTCAAGACCTCAAATCACGTGTGTTGCTCTCCTCTGGACTCTTTCAACATCTTTCCAAAATCTTTCTTGGATCCTGTTGGGGCATTGATCTTCAGGTGAGGGTTTACCAGTCCTGAATACAGGGGAAGAATCACTTCCTGCAACTTGCTTATGGCACTGTTAGTTTTATTTCCAATAATATTATTCCATTGACTCATATTCAGCTTGAGGTCTACTAAGACCAGCCCGGCACTCTTTTCTGCAGTATTGCAGCCTTGCCACTCATTCCCCATTTTCCTTTTGTGCCTTGATTATTCAGTCCTAAGTGTAGTGTCTGGCACTTCCTGGCTACTGACAGAAGTTACACATAAACTGGTTTAAGTGATCAAAAACTGGTTTAAACCTGGAACAGAACAGAAGCTCAGTGCATATAATCCAGTTCCAAAATGGCTGAAACTGGTTTAAGATAAACCTGGCTGAATGTAGTATCAGACTTAACTGATTTGGGTCAAACTGGTTTATGAAACTTCTGTCCCAGACCCCTTCCTGGTTCAAGTTAAATCACAGTCCCCCAGCATCCCAGCATGCTTTCCGGCCCTGGGCTGTCTGCTCCAGACAGCAGGGCTGGCCCCACTCCTCTGCTCCCCAGCTGGAGCAGTGAGGGCTGGCTGACAAGGGGGTGGGGGCACAAGCCCAGTTGGGGATGCAGCCCAGTCTGCACTGGGGGGGGACTGCCCACCCCCAGGCAAGCCCTGGCTGTGGGTCTGAGGCCAGGGATGGGAGTTAAACACCCCTTCCCCCATTCAAACTTACTGCAACTGTGGACTACAAATCCCAGAGGCCCCTGGAAGCAGGAAGAGGAAGTGATGAGCAACCATGCAGAGTCCTACGGCTGTGAGCCTGGACTGCAAATCCCAGAGGCCTCAGGGCAGCAGGAAGACGAAGCGAATACACAGCCAAAGAGCCATGCTCTAGTGCCTCCTGGCTTCTGGTGGAGCTAGTGCAGGCATGTGGCTGCATTTCCTGAATCAAAAGTAAATGTCTGTTCACTTCTGTTTCAATTTAATCTGCGCAGTTTAGACTAATTTGTAAAGACTGAATCGATTCAGCCTTGGGCTTTCTGACTGTCTGTACCTCTGGGCGAGGTATCAGCTCTCCCAACCAGTTTGTCCTTGTCTGCAAATGTCCTAAGTGTGAACTCAGTTCTGTCCTCCAAGTCATTAGGAAAGATAATGAACCTGGTAAATATATCAGACCCAGGAGATTTCCCCAGGGACCCTCACTTCTCCCAGTCTGATACTGAGCCACTGAGGACTACGCTTTGAGAACAAGTATTCAAAGTAGTTGTTCACCCACCTGATGGCAGGTTCAGCTGGGCCACATTTTCACAGCTTACATATGTACGAGAATGTCTTGGGAGACAGTGTTAAAAGCCTTGCTAAAAAAAAGAAAGAAAAATCAAGGTATATTGCATCTACTGCTCTCCTCCCATCCACAAAGCCTATCACCTTGTCACGGAAGAAAATCAGGTTTGTTCGGCATGATCTGCTCTTGACAAATCCACATTGCCTGTTATTTATCACCATTTTATCCTCCAGGTGCTTAGAAATCAATTAGTATCATCCTATTCAGGAAAAACTGTAAGTATGTGTGTAAGTCCTGCTGATTACAATGGAATTGAAGCTCATGCTTACAGTTAAGCCAATGCTTGGGTGTGCTCCTGCCTGGCGTGTTAAGAAAAAGAGAAAAGTGAGATAAATAATTGGCTTCTTAAAAGCAGGACTGAGAAACCATGGACTCAAGCGTGTTCAAGATAACCTGATGGGAGTGAGCTGCTGGAGGGGGCTTGGAAAGTGACCCGCACACAACAGCTGTGAAGGACAGTCCCGTGCCTCATTTCATAAACTGAAGTGATATCTGCAGCTCATGAGCAACCAAGATGATGCATTGAAAGAAATCAGATGCTACAGTGAAATCAGTTTTAATTATCAGTAGCCAAAGTGCTCCACTTGAGGCAGTAAAGGTTTTAAGACTCCAGAAGAAAATGGCTCTTGTAAAAGGCTAACAAGTCTCCTTTAATCACTTGGCTGCATCCCAGAATCCCACTTTGAGATGTAACGCAGCTGCTGGGGAATCTTTCCCCGTAAACAGCACAACAGCACAGTGCTAATTTGGCTACTCTAACTAGCAAAAGAGCAGTGGCAGGAAAGTGCTATTCCAGCAATTTACCTTTTTAATAATAGTAAATTATTCTCCACACAAAGCCACTTTTTAAACCTCTAATGTGCTCTCAAGATGTAATGTACCATTTCTGCCTCACCTACAGGTCTCTGGGGTTTTTATGGGTTTTTAAGCATGCACACTGTACTTTTTCTGTCATGCTCATTTCTCATGCAAAAGCCCCTAAATCCTTTCGTTTAAAGCAAGCCTGAGTTATGCTGTTAATTTTCTTACATTTTGAATTCTCAAATAACTTTTTATGACAGTTTAATATAGAATATAAATAAGATGCCAACGTGACCTTAATATGAGGTGTGCAAATTATTTGTCATTAAATGCAAAACAACTTAACATTCAGGTATTACAGCAAAGCCCCCCAAACGGGTCCGTTTCTGTGAAATTTTTTTGGCGAGATAATTAGACAAGTACATTGTTCAAGTGCAAAGGGATTCATTTGCAAACAAAAGAGGCTTTGCTTCAGAAGCGGTTCGAAGTTTCATGGGGCTTGCAGGTGAAAATGGTCATGTCACCAGTAGTTGTGAAAAAAAATAAAAAAATAAAAGGCAAAATGGGAGAGGTACAGAATCGCACACAAGGACGAAAATAAAGCTGGCATGAAATTACAGACAAACCGAAGGTGGAGTGTTGCTAGAATACAATGCATGATGGAAAGGATTATAAGAGTAAATGCTTCTGGGGGGGGAAAAGATGTTGGACCTAAATATAAAACATTATGTTTCAGGGTTTAAATATATCCCAAGCTATTACAGATTTCATGAGGGTCAAATTATGCCACACCTACGTACTGGAGCAGCTCATGCTGGACCTGGTTTCTTCTGGGAAGGCTTACATCTCTAAGTTGCTGATATAACCATGGAAAGGCTTACATCTCTGGGTGGGGGGTTAATTTTATCTTAACATTTAATCTGTTTGTGAAATAACATGGGCCCTGGTTCTGCGAGCGCTCACTCTCACTCCTCCCAGGAACTTTCTGAATTCCCTTGTAGCACGACCCCGCTCGGTAATGACGGATGCTGGGGCAGCGCGGCTGACGGAAAGCAGGGAGGTGCAGGAGGATCAGGGCAGCGAGAGAGAGCAGGGTTAATAAAATGAATTCTTTCTATGGAGCATCTTATTTTAGAATTGCCTCCCTCCCTCCCTCCCTCCCTCGAAATGCCTTGAATTGTCTTCTGGTTCCCTGCCACACCCCCTGCCAGTGCCTTCAGGATGCCAGTCACTGCAGTGGGAGATTAGCTGGGAAGTACGTCGAGTGCCTGACATCAAAGGGATTGTAAAACTCTAAAATTAACAGGAGGGATTATATGCAGGTGTCGGAAAAAGTGAGAAGCAATTTTAAAAGGGAATGCTCATTTCATGTCATGATGGAGTTGGGGCCAGTCCTGCTTTGAGCGGGGGGTTGGACTAGGTGTGACCTCTGGTCCTGCTTGGAGCAAGGGTTGGACTAGGTGTGACCTCCTGAGGTCCCTTTACACCCTCACTTTCTATGACACTATGATTCGTCTGCTTCTGGGGAGGGGAGTCTGTGCAGCGCATGCCTGAGAACTGCCCCAAACTTCAGGCGCTGAGTAGGAGACATCATGGGAAAGCAAGAGGGGGGAGCCCTCATCAAACTCAGCGTGAATTAGGGATGTTGCAGGGACCCAAATGGTGAGGGGACCTTGTTGGTGCAGATTCAGAAAGCCCTGGCCTAGCTTTAAAGCAGGTGAAGCGTCCCTGAAATCACATTTCCATTTCCTCTCTGAACAGGGCTCAGGTTGGCACATCAGCACCGCACCTCTGCATTCAGCTCTGCCCAAGTCCCTCCATCCCCGGAGGAAGCACTCGAGCAGGGGGAGCTCAGGGAGAACGATCGCGGCAGGAACATGGGGCCTTGCATGCGTGCCGGTGTGGTACGCCTAGCAGAGCCGGCAAGGAGGGGGCCGGGGATGACAAAACCAGGAAGAAGAGAAGAAGCTGGAAGGATCAAAGGTTAGGAAAGCCTTCCACGAATTACCCGTGACAAGCCGCCACCTTTAATAAAGCTCTCCCTGCCTGCCCCAGCCCCCCCGCCGCACGCTGCCTGCGCCTTCACCTGGCTTGTGCCGGCGTGTCGGCTGATGGAGCGGTCTCGCCGCCTGCAGTGGCCGAAACAACAAAGCTACGCAGCACTTCGGGGAAATCCTTCAAAGGGGCCCTTGCCTTGAAAACGCTGCACATTATTTCCGTGGGCTCTTAAACAGAATAATTCATTAGTCAGCTAAGAACAATCAATATCACACTCCAACAATTTATACACTGACTCTGTTTACTCAGTGGACCCTCTTTGATAATATTATTTATGATTCTAAATAACTCCATCAGTGTTCAATAGAGCTGGGAGGTGCCTGTGGGACTGGGGCACAATCACATTATGAAGACATATGGTTTACTCAGCACTGGAAATGTTCAAATGCATTTCGTTGCTGTTAGTCTTGCTGCAGTACCTTCCCCAATCAGTTATACAACCGTCTTAATATCGTTTACTGTATGGGAACACTTCTTCAGGGAGAGGGCTCTTACTCGGCTGAAGGAGAGATGTGGCTGTAAAGGGAATTTTATTGTGAGTACTTCTGGATTCCTGGAGCTGGAGGATGTGTCAAGCAGTTCATTGCATCCCAGACTGGGGGTTGCAATTAAGCTTCTGTATTGCTTGGTTTGGGGAGGGGAGAGTGGGCTGCATTGTGAAGTTACAATGCCTTCCACTAGAGATGGGTGTCAAACAAGTGCTTCACAAGCTCGGAGCTACCCGGGGAGACGATCCCAGAATATAGGCCAATGAGCTTGCACATCAGACCGTGCGCTCTGCATCGCTTTGTGCTCAGCCTGTGAGTTATGTACGATTTAATACAGGGCTTCTGATAGACCCACAAAACGGCCAAGTGCTGAGAGTCGTTATTATCGACAGAACATCACATAAGTACTCTGCTGACTTTCCTTTGGGCATACAGGGCGAATAAAGGCACTGATGCTATATTGCTCTATAAACCCTCGTCCTCCCTGCAGAGAAGAAATAATTAATCAGGCGATGCATGACATGCAACAAATTAAAAAGATAAAACATCCCAACCAAAACTACAGGGCTTACGAGAGCTAGGCAGAGCTTTGCAGCCCAGCTGCACTGTTTCTTAGCCTCCTGTTTCCCAGGTCCAATCTCGTGGACAATATGGGACACGAGGCTCAGGTGTGCAGGGTGGTGGAGGCCAGCCCTGATCCCGCAGCTCGCTCACACACGTGTCTGTGCCTTCAGCACTCACAGGAATTGGGGGGCATGTCTCATCAGGACAAGACCCTAAGTTGAGAGTGGAGGCAGCAGAAGAGCAGCGGTGCAGTGGGGGCAGAATAAGGCCATCCCAGATAGATTTTCAAACTATGAGCTTGTTGGGGATTTTGTTTTGTTACCTCCCCATAAACACTCCTAACCCATGGCCGATGCTACAGAAATAAACAGGAATGGATTAAAATACAACAAGGCATAAGAACAGCCATCGCTGTCATTTTAAATAGAAACATGCCCCACTAGGAAATCCCGTAGAGACCAGGCAGCAAAATGAAAGCCACCTGCCAGAGCTGGACACTCTTCTGGTCCCTTCTCACAGGCAGGTCCTCTCAAGGGCACAGTTGCAACCTTGCACCCCATGCAACGCTGAAATGCAACCTTGCACCCCATGCAATGCTGAAACACTGGGTCAAAAGACAGAAAGAAAAGCACTTTGCAAAAGGGCAAATCGAAACCCCACCAATCCCTGGACTGTCAGCACATCACCTTCTGATCTTCTCCCCCCCAAAATTGCTGCATTGCACAGACAGCATTTGACGATCAGAAAACGTTTGGTTGTATAGCTCCCGGCAGCCCTGGTAACTGCTCAGAAGGTGTCACATACTGTACTCGCTCGCCTGCTATGGTAACAGGGGAGCATCTCTCCGTGCAAGCCGGCGGCTGCTGCTGCCATTGCAGGCCTCCAGTAGAGGGGGCTGAGATTTATTGCTGATTTAAAGATGCCTTAAACCCACCTCCTCCACCCAGCTGCCCTGTCCGGGGAGCCACTGCACGCGAGCCAGGCGGGGCGCATGCACACAAAACACACGCTCACGTGGACCAAAGGGGAGATTGTTACATGCAGCACAGAGTACCTGCCTGGCCACATTTGCAAGAGCTGTGTGAAGCATCTTATGGGCTTGCTGCCCTGTCTAAGCCCAGATTCCAATGTCTTTGCTACTTATGGTCTGCACTGATAGTGGCAGAGGCCTGTAGGAGCCTGGGGAGTGCATGGGGCTCGCATGG